TAGCGGAGGTGTGGGCGAGGAGATTTCTCACAGCGTGATCAAAGCTAGATTATTGTTTACTAATCTGCTGCGTCTCGAGTGCCGGCGCGACAAATTCTTTTCACTGGAAGGGTGCGTGTACTGAGAAACGCTACGCGCCGTCTTGCTCTATGGCTGCGGAACCCAGCCTCCCTGAACAGATCATGTCCAACGACTACTCGTCTTCGGTTGTCTGCGCAACATCGCCCGCGTATGGTGGGAGCATGGCGTGAATAACTATGAAGTCAGACGACGTATGTCTTTCATTGAGCAAAATAATTTCAATGCATTGTCTGAAGTGGCTAGAGCACATCCTACGAATGCCTGCTCAACGTCCACCATGCTGTGCACTATTTTCAGACAACGATCCAGGCTGGAAAAAACAGCGGGATGGGCAGGTTATGACTTGGTTAGGAGAGTTAAAGAGATTTTGCTCTTGTTTTTTGTTTGCTCTCGCTTCTATTGGGACTTCCCGGCTAAGGCCCAAACATTGAGATCGTCTTTGGATGGAGACACTGCGGGACATGGCATCGAAACCGAAGTCAGTGGCTTGAATGCATCCTTCTTTGTATGCGATACCAAAAATGAAAAAAACTCAAAACAGTGCGCAGTACAAAAAACTAAAAAAATTGTTATTCCTAGAGTTGACTGCTTTTCTCTCTTTTTTGTTTCTATATTTTGCGTTGAACCCATGGTTATTTTAGTGCCGTATCTCCAAAGATTGGTGGTAAATATATAAATATACATATTGCACTGAGCGCACAGCATTCCAATTTGGTAAGTCTAGAAATGGGAGGTAAGAAAAAACCGATAGTAGATGACAATCTCACATAGGAAAGATGAGACACGAGACACGAAATGTCAACTTAAGTCATAAGGTGCGCGCAAAAGCTATGGAGACAGTTATTTGCATCTCATTTCGATAACAGAAGATGTACAAAGATAATCTGGTTTGCGAACAAGCATGGTGACCACGCAACAACCATAATGACCGAGAACAGAGGGGTTGGGATGCAAAACCAAAAACGGGGGTAATTTTTCACCGAAGTGAGCCCTAAGACGTTCTCAAGTGGGTAATGCATGGAAAGTTGGTATGCCTCGTTGAACAGACGAATTCAATTGACAAAATTATAGAGACATGATAACTTTGCAGTCGTGTGTTGAATCTTGCTATATTATGGTGATTCATCAAGGTCGATCAGGCAGTTTAGAAAACACCTCGAGCAGTAATTGATCGTATTTCATCGTGTTACCGAGACAACACAATACCTCTTCTGATATTATGTCCACATTAATGTTAACTATTCCATCCAACATGTTCAAATTTTACTTTTCCCATCATGGCGTCTCAAAACGTGCCTTTGAGGGCCATTGTAAATCAATGCGAAATTCAAAATTGATTGAAAGAAACCACCCACTCTCTCTTCTAGTAATTCACCAATAGTGTTCGTCGAAGAATCCGGTGCGCAGTTCTTGATGAAATTACTCATACAAGCTTAGTTTTCCGTTACTCTGTCACCGATGGACAGGTAAGTTAGACTTCCATATCGTGCTGCTGACGTTGACACTGGACTGAGGTAGTAACTTTTCAAAAAAACGGGGAGATTGTGACATTCAGATAGTTGTGCATTAGCTTGTTGCTTCTGCAGGCTACCCAGAACGCAGCGTGGATAAATGATAGCATCAATAGTATGCGGAGAGTATTGATGCGTCGGAGTAAAAACGTTTTCCATACTAAACAGAGACATTTCCTTAATGGATACACTGTCCTAATATTTTGGTTGCACTTTTCAAATTCATTGGTACGTACTGTTTTTATAATAGTTCAACTGTAAAACCTTTCGTGTTCTCTGATGTGCCGTGGTTTTGATGTTTATTATATGAAAATGACTGCTATGTTATTATGATAGTAAAAGTTGGATGCAAACAAATTCGAGTGTCCCTTAAAGTTGTTGCTCACTGGATACCCTTTTGTTGTTTGTGTAGAGGGAAGTCACTCGGTGCTTACAAAGCTACAAACAATGAGAAAAGAACTAAAACACTCATTCACCAGGGAAGTAAAAGTAAGACCACAGCATAATTTAATATGCCTGAATATAAGTTAAATTGTCGAAAAAAAAACATCGTTTGCATCAGTTTATTTATGTATGGTTTATTATTATACAGTAACCATCACGACGAGACTGCACCTTGACGTGGTGTGATGGCTTGCGTGCCTACATGACCCTGCGAGCTATACAGGATGGCTTTTCACAGCCGCAGATCCAATCACGCCTGAAACGTCAACGGGTAGAGGCCAGACGAAGCTCAGTCTCTCAAGCCAGCTGCTTGGGCACCCCCTGGCTTCTTTCTTCTATCCACACCCGCCCCTGGGGAGGTCACTCTAGTAAATAAACACGGTGAGGGGCATTTTACCGGTCAAAACCCCGCTAGATGGACGTAGGAGCGGGGTACCTGGGGATTTCTCTCCACGGTGACAGAAGTCTTCGCACTTCATTGGACAGCTACAACCCGCCCAAGCTGGGCAGCTCTCAGCCAATAAGGTGCTGTCCCGTCCACGTTCCGCTTGTCTCATTGGGTGCATGAGGCTGAGGGCTGATCCCGAAAAGGGGACCGAAAATCAACGCACCAGCGAACAAACAATTAATCGAAATTCAAAGGCCTTGCGTGACAAGTCTCTAGAAGCTCCCACACGGGTGCTTCGTTCACGCTCCCGCGTTGGATTTACGCCCCACTGCCTTATGGGTCAGATTTTGAGTCGAAGGCTCCGGTTAGAGTTCCCAAAGAAAAACCCCTTCGTCGGTGTGGGCTGCCGCAAAGTATGCCATGCCCCAAAGTCTCAGGCACCCAGTTGAAAAACCATCTTTCCCAACTGAAACTGAATTATACAGTTTTGTTTTGGAAAGCTATTTCGAGACAATGGTCTCAATGTATTCATCTATAAAAAGAAGAAATAAAACGGAAAGAAATGTGCAACAGCGCTCAGAGAGAGACAGAGAGAGAGACGTGAGTAGTCACCGAAGCCGAAACAACACTCGCGGTTTAGGGAAATGTAGCTGAAAATCTCGTAATTAATCTCAGTAACGGATGGCATTAGCGCTAAAATAAATATTTGTACCTCACAGGTCAATTAAATCTGGGTTCGTTCATTCATATCTATGAAGCACACTCGATCAACGTTCACGAACATAACGTTCCCGAGTGGAACGGGTGTGTGGGAAGCGGGGAGAGAACGGCCCATCTCAACCCGCGCCCCCGAAAAATTGAACCTTGCTCGGTAACTCACTAACAAAGTACTTTTGTTTGTTTAGGGGGAAGTGAGTTCATTCGGACAAGACGGGGTTTAGACAGACCTGGTTCAATGGGTGACATTTGACGGCCGAAACACCAATAATCTCGTGGGGTTTCCAATAGAGTGCAATTGGTTGGATTCACTTAAAGTTTCAAAGGATTCACTTAAACTTGAAAAGGTATAGTTATAAATAGATTAAAACAATCGCTTCGCAATGGCAGTGTAAATAATCTTTGTTGCCACGATTACTGATGATGATGTTAATCAGATCTGTTGTACTGTGCGTCATTTTGCTTGCAAAAGACTACTCACTTTCACTTTCACATTGATCAGTTCATGTAAAACAAGTAACAATCAATTACTTGTGTTAAGGGGTTCAATTACAAGTGTGTAACACTCACTCAGTTTGTTGTCACAGCGGTTCATACTGCTGACCCATATAATTAACCTGAATGAACCAAAGCACAATCACACACACACACACACGTGTATAAAATAGGAACTGATTGACTAATAGCATTTCAATGGAGTGACGAGAGGTGTGTCTATGTAGAAAATCCAGCATTTATATTTTGTGAACTCTTGTTTTGGTTTGCCTAACGCACTGCAACAAATCAATAACAAAATCATGTAAACTATTGTTGCATACATCAGGAAGACTTCAGATGGGGAGAAAGAAAACTAATATGGCCTGCCAGTATCAATAATCCTCAAGTAACCGTAAAAGTAGAAAGTAACTTTCCACACCGAACCCATCAAATTTTATTATTATTTGAGGACTTCGTTCAAACATGCATAAAAAGGAATGGACAGGTAAACAAGCTTCTCCGTGCACCCAGTCAAAATCAAAAATGTATTTAAATGTAAGGGAAAATAGGAACGTAGATTACCAACGTACCGGCAACCGAGATATACTGGACGTTCACCGGGTGCGCTAGCCTCCGATTCTTTCTTCAGCGATAGCACGTGATTGATGGACAGTACTGTGGCGGCAACGAACCATGGGATTCCAACCAGTGAATTGATCATGATAGTTACCGCAACTAAGAGCAAATCTAAATGGTACCCGGCTCCTTTCTGAAAAAATTAACAAAAAACATTTCAACTGACTCACAAGAAAGTGCCCGGATGCACGAAAAATGAAATGTGTAAGAAAAATATTTCTTTCGCCATTAATCGGATTCTTCGAGAAAACAGATACATCGATTACGTTTATTGATTACGGTTAGCCAAATCAACATGATCACGATTTTCCAGTTACATGATGTTGGTCATTGCGTGAAATATGGTGATGAAGACATTGAGTGCATTCATATTAAGAGATATACGAAAGACGTGAAACAGAGATCATGATGATTCCACTTAAACGATCACTTCACCACTTATTGGGGACACCGGGGATCCCAGGTGAAAGTAAGCGTA